TAATAAGTCCGAATGAAAAATGGTTGCTACTCCTCCTCCTCGCCCTGTACTTTGAGCAATATGATGATTTAAATAATTAGGAGTTGACTCGTTTAAACTAACATAGTCCTCTTGCTGCAGCCAGGATTCTGTGAGAGAGAGCAAAGAGATCTTATTATCATAAATCAAGTCATTAACTAACAGTCTTAGAAAAAAAGATCTAATGTTCAACAACCCACATTTAATTTTTCTAGTTTTCTGCTGAGTAGAATTTGTTGAGATTTCCATGATTTGCTTTATTAAGCCTGATATTTAATCTGTGTGATTTTGGCCGTGGGCAGGACACTGTCTCTATGGGGTAGTGGGTGGGTAACAGTACAGAAGCTGCAGAGGGGTAGGGATGGGTACCTTTGACATTTGAATCGATCCGGTACTAATTCCCGGTACCTACGATACCGGTACTTAACAGTACCAATTTTCGATACTTTTGAGTGTTTAATTTTTTAATTCTCTTTTATAATTAGATATATATTTTTCTCAATTTATAACCATATTTGATAAATATCACAATAAATAACATACAACTGTTTGTATTTTAACATCGTCCTTGTAGTTTTATAAGCTGATAATTAAACTGAAGCAAACATCTTTACTGTGAACTAAATTTACTGTGTATCTTCATTCCTTTTACCGTCCTTTTTCTTTGATTTTTCCTACTGGGAAGTTAGAATTTCCGAGGAGAAAGCGAACGCACCATTAGATGATAACAATGGTGGCATAGGAAGCTAACATATCAAGCTACGTTATCTTAAACAGTTTATTTAACTGCTGGAGCAGATTAAAACGATGATGCCTCACACTTAAATCATTGTCACTGGTTTCATCTTCACCCAATCACCCGTCGCATTTAGTAAAGTGAAGCCAAACTTTGGTGCGCGTTCGTGTTCTTCTAGTCAGAATTTCGGAGTTCCGAGGAGAAAGCGAATGCACCATTAGTGAAACAGAAGCTAACAAATCAAGCAAACGTTATCTTACAGTTTATTTACCTACCGGAGCAGATTAAGATGAGGATGTCTCACTTAGATCGTTGTCTGTCGCTGGTTTCATCATCACCCAGTTACCCATCACATTTAGTGAAGTGGACCCAAGCTTTAGCGTGCGTTCTTTCTACCCATGCTGCTCTGTTTACAACTGGCTCGCAGCAACCGACGTAACGCTCTTGCGCATGCGCAGCTGTCTAGGCAAGTTCTCGTTGTGAAGGATGGGTACCGAAACGAGGCACCGTTTCAAATGAAGTGAATCGGTGCTCGGTCGATACCTTAAAAAGTACAGAATTCAGTACCCATCCCAACAGAGGGGTGTGCTAAACTACGACTCTGCTTCCTGGTCTGGACCCTGGGTAGTCATGGAGGACTAATAAAACTGGCCATGTTCCTAGAAAGAAGAGCTGCTCCATCCAAAGAGGGATGGATGCCGTCTCTCCGCATCAGACCAGGTTTTCCCCAAAAAGTTTTCCAATTATCAATGTAGCCCACGTTGTTTTCAGGACACCACCTAGACAGCCAGCGGTTGAAGGACAGCATGCGGCTAAACATGTCGTCACTGGTCCGATCAGGCAGGGGGCCAGAGAAAATTACGTAGTCCAATACTGTTTTGGCAAACTTGCACACTGAAGCAACATTAATTTTAGTGACCTCCGATTGGCGTAACCGGGTGTCGTTACCGCCAGCGTGAATAACAATCTTACTGTATTTACGCTTATCCTTAGCCAGCAGTTTCAGATAAGATTTAATGTTGCCCGCTCTGGCCCCGGGTAAACATTTAACTATTCAATTCAAGTTTATTTATATAGCGCCAACTCATGACAAGAGTCGTCTCAAGGCACTTCACATAATAAACATTCCAGTTCAGGACAGTTCATTAAGCTAATTAGAAATAATCTTCCACCCCCGGAACTTCAGCCAAAAATCGAGCAAGAAATTGCCTCTTTTTGCCCATCAGCCAAGGCCAACATTAGAAACCTGGGAGTTATTTTTGATCCAGCTTTAAGTTTAGACTCACACGTCAAAACCATCTCCTGCTCTTGTTTCTTTCAACTGAGAAACATTTCAAAAGTCCGTAAACTGGTTTCTACTGCAGATCTGGAAAAAATCATCCATGCCTTTGTGTCATCACGCTTAGACTACTGTAACGCTCTTTTTACTGGTCTCAGCAAAACCCCCCTCTCACGCCTTCAAGCCATCCAAAATGCAGCAGCCAGACTCCTAACCAAATCCAGCAGATGAGCTCACATCACTCCAGTTTTACAGTCCCTCCACTGGCTCCCGGTAGAATATAGAATACAGTTTAAAGTTTTAGTCCTGACCTATAGAGCTCTTAACAACCAGGCTCCAATCTACCTATCTGAGCTTTTATCCCCACACACCACCTCTCGGAACCTTAGATCCACATCTGAAAACCTCCTGGCTGTTCCTCGAACCAGACTGAAAACCAAAGGAGACAGGGCCTTTCAGACTATTGCACCCAGACTTTGGAACAGTCTACCTTCAAATCTCCGTCTCTCTAACACTGTAGAAGTCTTTAAAAACCATCTAAAAACTCACCTTTTCATCCAGGCGTTCCCTCCCTAAATGTTTCAAAAAGATGGCTTTGTTCTGGTTCACACCTTCACTTTGTTTATACTCATGATTTTATTTTCTACGTTTATCACTGCTATTGTTTTTCTGATGTTTTTATTGGTTAGAGGTACCCTGATCTTTATCATGTTGTACAGCGCTTTGTGATGTTTATCTGTGAAAGGCGCTATATAAATAAACTTTTACTTACTTAATTACTTACTTACTTACTTACTATATAAGGAACCCAGCAAATTGCATCAAGTCACTGACTAGTGTCAGTGACTATACAGCAATCCTCACTATGGTTGCTGGAGTCTCTAATGCCACGTTTCTGACTATGGAGCTGCCAATGATCAGAGTCGGCTTGTCAGTGGGTGCGTCACTGAGCGGGGAAAATCTATTAGAAACGTGTACGGGTTGGTGGTGGCCCACAGGCTGGGTTCTTTGCTTCCTGCGTACCGTCCCCAGCCAGCCTGAGGTCCCGGCTGCTCGGGTTCTGCTGGAGGATCGCTACGGGGTGGTTCTGAGCTAGTTAGCCCCGCACTAGCTAAGTAGCTACGGCTGTTTTCGGGTTTTTCAACAGCGTGGAGCCGGGCCTCCAATTCCGACACCCTCGCCTCCAAAGCTACAAAAATGCTACATTTATTACACGTACCATTATCACTAAAGGAGGCAGAGGAGTAACCAAACATCTGACACAGAGAGCAAGAGATAGGAGACGGAGAAGCAGAGACAGAAGTAGCCATAGCCGTGCTGAGGCTAAGCTAACTGGACGAGCAAACTGTTCAACAACAAATAAACTGCGTGCGAACTCAAATGGTTCCCTAAAAGCTAGGTGGAACAACAGAAAATGTGTGTTTTAGCGTGCTTATCTGCTAAAATAACTCCTAGTACAGAGAAATTAAATCAGTTTTAGCGAGCCACAAACACCAAACAGCTACACGTAGTGCAACACTGAAAACAGGAAACGCCTTATCGCCAGGGAGAAGCAGCCAGACAGAAAGACCAGTCCTCCGGATCCACTGATTTCCCTCTTTCCTGTTCACTCTCTCTGTTTCTTTACATTTTTGAATCACAATCGTCTATTTCTTATTAATTTTAAACATATTTTTAACCATTTTCTAAATAATTTTTTATATTTTTACATTTTTTGTTTCTTCTGAAGCACGGTTGTTTTTACGCCAAAGCTTCAGTTTCAAATGGACCATCGCCACCGCTCAGGACCCTCGGTGACACTCACTCACCTTTGGCCCATGTGTGGCTTACATCAAACACAGGAGACTTGCGGATGACTGGACCGTTTCCTCGAGCTATGGTGCGCCATAACTGGTCTCCCATGCACAGCCAATCACACTGGCCATATGCGTTACGGAGGCAGGACTCGAGGAGAGAAGCTCATCTAACCCTTTCTGCACCTCTAGAGTAACGAGACATTGATCGGCTTGTTGTTCTTTAGCTTAGGCGGTCAGATTATTGGTGGGGATTATTGGGTCATTGCTGGATTTTGGTGGGGACATGCTATCTCCATCCATGCCAAACCTACACCCATGAAGCAAGCATAGGGACAGAGGACAATGTGATGTAATGTCCTTCATTCTACTAAAGCAGGGCTATTCCGTTCCGGGCCTGGAGGGCCGGCATCCAGCATGTTCTGGTTTTAACCTGCTTCAACACACCTGATTTCAGCCAGCAGGTGAGTAACAGGCTTCTGCAGCGCCTGATGAGCTGCTGCACGGGCAGGGGCGGACTGGAACAACCATCCCAGGCCACCGCCCACTTTACACTGAACACTAAAAGGGAGCCAGGTTGGGTGTTTTACAGCTTAGCAGGCACAGATTAAATAACCAGCCTCCACAAAGGCAACTCAGACTAATGATATGATTATAATACATCAAGCCTATTTTAAATTCATCCCTAACACCCTAAAGTTTACATTTAATCATCTATTTATTTTCACTGTGGTGATTTTTAACATATCAGTAATATATAAAAACCATACAATAGGTCACAATATTATGTTTTAAACACAAAGACACAGCAAATCTCCCTGTCTTAGAAATGGTTTGATCCTGCTCACCTTTCCAGACTCTGAGGCATCGAGCCTCCTGATTGGCTGCTATGCCGCTGGTAGGACCGTCCTACAGAAAGCAGGAACCTTGGTCACCCTGAGTCGACATAACTTTTCTCGGGTCCTGCTGACTGAGACTCCGTCTGGCATTTTGACTGTCTCCCATTTCATCTTTGAATCTTGTAAAGACTGATTGTGAGGTGATTAAAGCTGCTGTCAATCAAGCTAGGAGGCGGGACTTAGGGTTAGGGTTAGACTGATGGGTCAAAGCTGGTGCTACAGAAGCCCAGTAATACGGTTCTAACACAGACATGGTGCTTGTGTTGCTTCATAGCCAAACCCTCTAGCACTGCTGAAATAATTTAATTAAAGCCTTGATTATTTATTCTGAGACAAAAAGTCAGAACATTAAGTTTAAATCTGTGGTCGTTGTTTTCTCTCCCCTAAATATCTGCCGTAGGAGATAAACCGCCATTTTGTTTTTGGTAGTTTTTTAAATTAAGAAGAAAAAAAAGACAAAAAAGTTTGGATTTATTTTTCAGCGGGATGTTGATGTTAGTGGATAATTATGTGAAGATAAGTATAAATTGATCTAAAACACATTACTGGTTAGGGTTAGTGTCATTCTGTTGGGGAAATTCAGACAACGCTAAAAGCAGGTTCCACTTTCATGGTTCCTAATATTAAAGGGTAATTCCAACCAATGTTCCGCTCACGAGCGTCTTTAATCTTTAATCTGCTCATGTTTTAAAACTTCAACACCTGGACCAGTGGTTCCCAACCTGGGGTTCATCATCCACCAAGGGGGTCCCCACCACATTTGTGAGAACACAGCACATCCCAGCACCTGCTGGTTTTATCTTGAGAGGCTCCTTCTTCTCCATGTTGGTGCTGAGATGGTGAGGTTACTACACAGGATCAGAGTTAAACCCAACCCACAGCCAGGGGGTCCTCCAGGACAGATTGGGAACCACTGACCTAGACGCTGTAACCTGGACCAGGTTCTGCTACAGTGTCAGCAGAACCTGGTGAACATAAAGATTGTGCTTTTATGGTCTTTCATAAGCGTGAGAATGAAATTGTGTTAAAATGTAGAACATGTTGAGTTTCATCTCGTCTGACGGGGCAGGTCTCTGGGTGCTCAGACAGGCTCAGGCCGGTGTGTACGGATGTGGTCCCACATATCATTTATGTACACACCAGTAACAATACTGGGAGTTCAATGGTTATGAACCAAACATGATAGAAGCCAGAGGTGAAGGTCCATGCATCTAACAAGAAACTTCATTACTGATCACCAGAGCTGCTGTAGAAGCTGATCTCCAGTCCAGGTCCAGTCAGAAGGATCCTCTCTTCCGTCACCATCAGCAGCAGCTGGATGTTCATGACTACAAAGTGGTTTTCCAGCATCATGTCCACCGTCTGCAGCGCTTTGCCAGACCCGACAAAGTGAGAGGAGGCGGTTTGCTCCGTTTGCCCTGAAGAGCTGCACGAGGGCTTGTTCATTTAGATATTACGCTCGTCATGACCGTCGGCAGGCTCTGAGCGGGCCAGACTACAGGTTAGGGTTCTCCCGATGACCAGTCTGCCACTGTGCACAGGAGACTCATCCCTGGATCAGGTGTGTGTGAGCAGGGAAACCACTGAGGCGTGCTGGTTCTCCACATTCGCTCTGTGTGTTGAGTCATAACACAGTGAAGTAATTAGATGTTTCTTTACCTCCAGCTGACGTGTTTCAGCCAGAACTTCTGCCTTTGCTCATGTGCTGATCCTAACCCTCCTGGCCCAGGGTTGCATGTCCATGGCCTTAACCATAGACAACGGGGTGCATAAACTGGTTACCAGCATCAGCCTGTGGGACTCGTACTGGACCATCACAGGTGTTTTGTGTGATTTAAAGCCTGCTGAGAGGAGTTCCGTACCCTAACCCTCTGGTCAGGACGAGCTTCAGCGTGTTCACACTGCCACAAACTGCTTACCCAACGTACTCTTGTGAAACTTTGAGGAGGAGAAAGCCAGCTTAGCTATCACATAGTGGCTCCTCCCACAAACGGCAGACGCCACCTTCCTGCTCTAGGCTGTCTCACGTCACTCTGGGTTTAGCTGGCTTCCACACCGCCTCACAGCTGCAGAGCCGTGCCCAACGCAGGTGTGAGCTCCTGCTGGCGGACCCGTCTTTCAGCTTGGTGTGTGGCACAGACAGCGACTCCGCCTGTTATCTGCTGAGGAATCTGTGCTAGTTGGACTTTTTGATCAGTTCCAACAATGAGCAGGGAAATGAATTTCACTGAAATCCTCAGTGTTATTGGAGGCTTCGGGAGGTTCCAGAAGATCTTGTATGTGTGGATCTGCGTGCCTCAGATCTTTCTGGCATTCCACATGCTGGTCTCAGTGTTCACCGGGGCTGTTCCTCTTCATCTGTGTCGCTCTCAAAGTCACAGAGTGGGCTCGCCATCCTCTCAGAACTTCAGCCTTGTGGCTGGTCCTGGTGGTCAGATGGACATGTCCTGCACCATGTCCCTGAACAACAGCGGGGCTGCAGTTCTTAAGGATGGACACCCGACGGCGAGCTGCTCGGAGGGCTGGGAGTACAGCCGAGAGACCTTCCAAAGCACAGTAGTGACTGAGGTGAGTGAATGAGCAGCAGTCTGCTGAAACCTCAAGCTTCTGTCTTTACAAAGTATTCACTTGTCCTTAAAGGTGTGGTTCACTCATTTAATGAATATATTTGCAGTGGTCTCTCTTAGGATTGAATGCCGTGTAAGTCGTACTTGCGGGTGAGGTGGGGAACGCCGGTGCACCACTTCCAGGTACTAGAAGAGAGCCGCGTCACAGCTGGGCTTCCGACGGAGCGTTTTGGTCTTTTCTCCGACATGTGGCCATTTCGCCCTGGATTGGGTAACAGCAGCGTGAAACTTTCATCTTCACGAGTCATACGGGTTTTAAGGAGGTCTGCCGTGTGGAGTCGCTAATGCTAACGGTTAGCTTCTACCAGCTGAGACGTTGTCTGCTGTTTCCTGGACGCTGAACCAACAACAGCCTCTCCAGATGGGCGAGTCCACGAGTGACGTTGTAGCGTCTGTTGTCTGTCAGAAGCTGATGCAGGAGACGGGAGACGGTTTCATGTTCAGCATGCGTGAAAACCTCAGAGTGCTGATTATAATCAGAAGTAAGAGTTTACGGTTGTTTTAGGGTTCCACACAACTTCTCCATGCAGCTGGGGAATGTGGAGCAGCTCAGCAGATTTATTACAGTGTACTCTGGTGATATGTGAGACGCAGCTCAGCATGGCGAGGGCTAAAAAATGGACCCTGGCTGAGTATGTGTGGAACATGAGAAGTGGAGGGTTGGGTGGCAGCAGCAGTGAGACGGCCAGAGGGATGACATGGGCTGGTGTAATGTCACATGCAGCCATAAACGGCGCATCTACACTCAGCAGGGTAGCCAGGCCAGCAGGCACATTTACGGGATCCTGGAGGTGAATGAGTCTTGAGCCGAGCTCCAGATGAAGTTGTTCCTGATTTGAGGGAGCTGTCTGTGCTTCTGCAGTTAAAGGTGTGGGAAACTCGTTTACTCCATACAGCTGGAGTGGTCTCTCGCAGGAATGAATGCCTTGTAAACCTACTCAGGGCAACAAAAGCCCACGATAGGGGTTTCTACAGGAGCTAAAATAGATTGTGCTGTAATGTTGCAAAGCACTCTGGGATGCAGGGTCATACAGGCAAGTGGGCATGTTTAAGTTTCCTATGCGGGGGGGGGGGGGGGGCATTTCAGAGTTACCCCCAACAGGGTCCCCCCAGAGAGAGCAGCCGTCGGTGTTGCTAGATCGGGCCATTTCCAGAACAGCTGGGCTGTTTGCGGGTGTCTGTTTTTACAACGCCGCCGCCACGGCATCAGGGAGGCGGAGCTTATCTACGAGTGGTCAGACTAGGCAGTGATGTGGCACAATCGTGTGCTTTTTTATAGAAGACTCAGCATAAAGGAGGTATGGGGGCGGTCTCAACGATGACATAACGTTGACATAAACGTGTTTTTATTGCGTTCAGAGCGATGGTTACGCTTTTCTAACAATCCGCCTGCCCCCTCACTTCCTGTGCAGTCTCTGCTGATCTGACCTCCAGCTCTCATGAAGAGACACTCATTGAGCGCTGCAGCGCTCCAGTTCGCTGTCTCAGCTGATTTTGTTCCAAAAGCAAAACTTACCCATGCTTACTTTAGTTTTAAGTGAAGTTGCCAGCCGGAGCTCGGCAGAAACTCCCCAAATTATCACGACACCTTCCTCTGTTACGCTGTGGTGCAACAGCCACGTATAATTAAGCAATATCACACGAGAGGGAGTGCGTTGTTGCTGAATATCAGCACTGGTGTGGTTCTGTCGTAGGCACGAGGCTGCGCGCGGCAACGCATGACCTCGAGTGCGATAGTGCTTTTATACAACAGTTCTACCACTAGTTTCCTACCACCCACCTCCGTCAATCCTCATTCTCAACTCTGAGATGAGAAGAAGTACCGAGTTCTTTTACAAGTGGAAGATGATCTTAGAGTCTGTTTGTCATCCATCCCTCCAAGAACAAAGAAGCTGTGGGGTGAGACAGGCTGATCCCTCTCACGAGTCGCTGATGAACCTGACGACTGGATCAGCGGTGTGTAAGAAAGCTAAAGCTAAACGTTCTTGATGAGGCTACGTTTTCCTGTTTTCTGCCAGAACTCAACACGCTCATTGTGTTAAAATAGTCTTCGAACTCACAAATAAAGTAAAGTGGCTTTAATGAAAGTGTTTCAGTATTTTCATTTATGATTTTGGAAGATTTCAAAAAGACGATGAATAATTTAGCTCAGTGTTTAAAAATGTGTTGATTAGGACAATGTCTACATTACTATGAAAAAGAGCAATTATGTTGAACATTTTGAAATAAAATTCATCTCTACAGGGTCTGGGAATACAAAAGGCAGTTTGGAAAACCTTATCAGATTGAGGATTATTTGGGGGTCCAAATCTCTACCCCCATAAGGGGTCCCAGGCCCCCAAAACTCTGAGAGCCCCTGGTCTACGAGTGGTTGTGTTAAGGGGGGGGGGGGGGGGGGGGGTAATCCAGCACACTGCTGCTAACCCTAACTCTCTCCCGATAATAACTTTTTACTCTCTTTGACATTGAATGTGCTACTACTAGTTCACCCGTTTAATTATAGGTTCACTAGGATAAAGACAGAAGTTTAATACACCACCTCTTGTCAAGCTTTGACAGCTTAATTGATCAATTGATGGTCTTTGATGACCCCTTTAATGACCTCTTTGTTTAATTAGGGCTTTGATCTTTAATTCAAGTAAGGATTTACGATGTAAGGAAGTCCCCTTACCTTTTTTCTGCACCCCTCCCCGCATAGCTTCATGCAGTCTCCACTCCCTTCAACCCGAGGCCGTACTCCTAATGGACAGACCTGGCGTCTCCTTCCCCCACCCCACTTCTTTGATTTAGGAAAAAAAACCAAAAACTTTTTATTCCTATAATATTTTATCACAGCCAGACATAACATCTGCACCAGCCCCCTCGGCCCACCCCTTTCAGACGCACCTCTACTGAGAGGGAGTTGTTGTGTTGATTAGATGCAGGAAGGTGTGACCTAGACTGAAACTGCTCAGGAATAAGATTCAACGCTACATTATTGGTGCTGGAAAGATGAAATCTAAGCCCCTCCCCTATTTAAAGTGGGGTTTTCACTTTTGACAGAAAAACAGAAGCTCATTGGCGTCGTTTATGCAGTCCGATGTTTACATCAGGGAAACTAAACAACAATTACACAAGAGCATGGCACAACACAGGAGAGCCGCCTCTTCAGGTCAGGACTCTGCAGTCCACCTTCACCTTTGAAGATGACAAAGTCCACCTTCTGGACAGAGAAGATAGATGGTTTGAGAGAGGAGTGAAATAAGCTATCTGTGTCAAATGTGGAAAACCTACTTTAAATAGGGGAACTACAGCAGCACCAACACTTAGAGAAGAGGAAAAATAAGATTACCGGTAAACACAACAAAGCCAATAAAGTATTATTGTAACCTTCAACCACTAAAAACAACAAATAAAAATTAAACTTGTTTCCGTAACTATGCAGCACAGAAATACTAATGTACATCAAGTACTGAATACAACACATACTGATTATTGCACTGATATTATTGTGTACCAGTATAACTGGGAGTTCTACACTCTCACTGTAGGAGGGATGAATGACCGACGGTAGCTGAAGCTGAAGATGTTCTCTTCCTTGTTGCAGTGGGACCTTGTTTGTGCCAACTCCAGCCTGAATAACTTGGGGTCTTCAATCTACATGTTTGGTCTTCTTGTTGGAGCAGTTGTATTTGGACATTTGGCTGATAAGTAAGTGAACCGGTCCTTACAGGAAAACAGTTTCTGTCATGATTTTCGTACAATATATTATCACTACAGGATGTGTGGTTGTGCAGATTTCTGTCATTGTGTCTTCGTCAGATATGGGCGCAGGATCATCATTCTCACTAGCTTGGCTATTCAGGCTACATTTGGTGTTGCTGCAGCTTTTGCTCCAAACTTTTATGTCTACACGGCCCTTCGCTTCATGGTGGGAACATCCATCTCTGGTGTGATAATGAATGCCTTTGTACTAGGTCAGTATCTAAACTAAACAGTTCACTGACACAACACTCCATACGCCACAGAGAGTAGAATCAGACCTTTAGTCCATGCTTTCAAAGGTCACTGGAACTTTAATCAGCTCTTTTTATTAGACTCGAATGCCTGGTAGTTCCTTTAGATCATGTCTAGGTATTCTGATTTGAGATGAACATAAACAATATTATTCCATCTTCCATGACACATGAAACCACTTTTATCTAACAGAGCATGTGTCAGAGTTCAGCCTGTAGAGCAGGGCTATTCTATTCTGGGCCTCGAGGGCCGGTACCCAGCACGTTTTAGTGTTAACTCCGCTTCAACACACCTCCTTTCAATCAGCAGGTGATTAACAGGCTTCTGCAGAGCCTGATGAGCTGCTGCACAGCTGATTCAACCACTGAATCAAGTGTGTTGGACCAGAGAAACCACTAAAACATGCTGGATACAGGCGTTAAATCGGCGTTTTAATTCCAACTGACAAATAATTCCAGTCAAAGCATTCCCTTTTCATGGGTTGAAATCCCAGACTCCTGTCTGAAGCTGGTTCCATCAACCGGACTAAACCGGAGTGATCGATTCGCCATCACTTTTCCCGTAGTAAAGCATAATTCTGTGTTCTGGTGTGTTTATGGTCCCTGAACAAGCAAAGAACCCTAGACTCTTCTGATTAAACATTCAAAGATCAGTCAGACTAATATTTCATATTTATATGGAACAATCACATCTTATTGGTCATAATTAATTTGCAGTCGTCACGCTATAAAGTGTGACCCCTACAAGCGGCGCCACAAGAACAGGCAACAGTGGAAGCTTGGAGACGTGCATTAGCAACCCTTCAACCATTCTCAGCATGACACGAACACGAAAGAGAGCACGGAGCTCACGAACGGAGTCAAGCACGACAGAAGAAGGTAGATGAGCTGTTGGATCAGAAAGGTACAGGATCATCCTGCTGATAGCAGGGTCCTGGGACTGAAGACTGGCAAGTTCGTTCTCAGAAAAGACAGGTTGAACGGGCACAAATCCATTGGATGGTCGAGGGGAAGGACGCAATAGTGGCCTGTGCTCGAGTCACGACACACACGCGGGGTGGGTCCGACTGAGAAGACACATCGTCAGGGTGCCGCAAGAGGTTGAAGGACAATGGGGTACCAACAGCCGCACCTTGTTTGGCAGGAGAGTCTGTAAGATCGGTCATTTCTTTATCAGTTCTGGGTGCACGGGAATGTCCTTTGAATTTATGCCAATAGACCTCCATGTCATGTGAAGTCGCTAGGGCATCACATGACATGGACATGTTTAACAGGCTTCCGGTTAGAGGTTAAGAGCCCATTACTTTTCCAGGAGGGTAGATGACAAGTGAAACTGAGATGCGCCTAGTCCTAGTCAGTGCTGTTGCAGGGTGGAATTAAACCCTTCATCAAGAGGCTGTCAATGAGTTCCTAAACTGGTCCATAGGACACCAGGGGAATTGTATTGATGCACAAAAGTCGGTGGTATCCTGACCTCATGGATGGTGGTTAACCCACAGTCCAAGGAGTCAACTGAAAGAGTCTTTGTATTTTAGTAGAAGTTGCCGTAGTCTGTCTCGCTCGACCTCATTGGTAAGAGCATCGCCTAGGTCCACCACCTGTTAAATGTGAGAGAGAACATCAGAGGCGGCTCTGATGGAAGCTGTGGTTGTGGCGGTGGAGGCTCTGAGCTCGGTGGGGAGCACGTGGTTTCCCCATGCTCAGGGTCACCAACCACAAGGCAGTGATGGTCAAGGTCAGGAGGCAAAACGATGGGCCGGGGGTCTTCAACACCTGCCCAAAGTTCACCCCATCATGATCGACAACAGGAAAATGAAGCTTTGATGGAATTGCTGGATTAAAACATGCCTGTAGGTGGCGGTACTGGTTGGGTGGAAAGAATTTGGTCAGAGAAGAAGAGACACAATTGCGTCACTTCCTGTTCTACCGATCTCTTCAAAATAAAAGGACAAGCAATGTTGGCTGTTCTTTTAAAGTTGTTGGCATAAATGCGGCGGTTTATTAAACCAAAAATGTACCCTGAAGGGCTTTTGAGTAGAGAAGCAGACACGCGGCGGATCGTCGATAAAACCCTTGAAGGAGCTTCAGGGGTGTTATCTTCTGTGCTTAACGTTAGCAATGCTATCTGGCCTTGCAACATCGGCTGGATCAGGATCTGGATAGAAACCAGAACGTCGGTTGAAATTACAAGGAATGTAACCCTTCGACTTACGGCTTCCCTTTTCATGGGCTCTCGTATCACCTGCCGGAAGGGGGATTAATGGTGGCGCTGAGACTCCAACGGAAAACCCAGTGCCCTGCGGAGGGGACGCCACCTGCCGGGGGGGGGCTAATTACATCACTGATCCTACACCACTAGGGACACACATGGAGACCCCAACCCATCTAGCCAGGGCCCAAAGCAGCACCATCGCAGAGCCCCACAGAGTCCGAGGGCACCAACCCAGCCCCACCCCAGCAGAACATCTACTCTCATCCCTGCACTTGCACAACTTCCAGAATTTTGAAGACATAAGACCTCCAGGTAACAACAAGATTTTTTCTTCAACCTCAACCTACATTCACCTCTCATGTCAGCTCCCCTAACATCGCGCTTCCATCCTTCTCGTCAGAAGATGTTCAGCAATGTCTTCTTTCCCGCCTACAAGTCATTGAAACCAAACTTGCTCAACTAGAATTCAACTGGGAGACAAATGATCTTGGAGATAACGACACCCTTCCACCTACTCTGGTCGAAGGTCGCAGGACCTCGGATGATCCACAGTTGGTCAGCACCTCCGTGCCTCTCAATAAATCTCAGAGCACCCCTCCCTGGAACACCCTTGGTGCAAAGTCAAAGAAGTCAGCTCTGTGGGGAATAAGAGGAGGTAAACTGACTTCACTCCATGATACCACAGATAAAAATGGCTGGCCAGCCGCCACGACCTCATAATGAACAGAGCAGCCCACAACATTGACAAGCTGGCAAAATGAGGAACACCAGAGGAACATCTCATCAGACAAGCATTCAGCTGCTAAACAGATTTACGCCGCTGCTAAAGCAGCCAGACTGGGAGACGCTTGAAGGCTCACCCTCTTCATCCCAGAACAGAAACCAGAACAAACAGCAAAAGAGTTCTGACGAGACTTAAATGGCCATTACTCTAAAACTTATAGTTTTGCCATGGATTCCATTTGTGTTTAATATCATGTCCTGACAACTGTAAAGCACATTGAATGGCCTCTGTGTTTGAAATGTACTCCATAAACAAAGCTGCCTTGCCTTGCCTCTGCTGTGTAGTGACGGTACTGCGGTGGGCTTCAGCCTGACCTTATGCTTACTTCTGAAACCCATTTTCTGCTCACTCAAGTCACTTTCATTGTGGTCTTCGTGAAAACGCGCACCACACACTACGGAGCTCGAAGATACACTCCTTGTGGTGAAATCTTGCCATCCAACTTGAACAAACCTCACCCACGCTCAAAAGAGAAATCGATGAACTCATGTCCAGACAGACAGGAGTTGAAACAACCTCCACATAAATGAACTTTCACCATTTTGACACATTTGAGAGCTTTATGCTAATGCTGTGGTGATAGTATCCGCTGTCTAGCCCCTCCTACATCACGACGTCACATGACAGACCATGACAGGAATGTCACACCCCTCCTCCACTCCAGCATAGCTGCAGCCGCCACCCCTCACCTGGACACTCTTACTCCTCTTTCCTCTAAATCACAAGCTGCGTTCCTTGTGAAGGAAGAGGATGTCTGCAACATCTTTAGGAGACAGAACGTACGGAAGGCACCAGGCCCAGATGGAGTAACTCCTTTCTGCCTCAGGACCTGTGCTGTCCAACTAGCACCTGTCTTCACAACGATATTCAACAGATCGCTGGAGCTGTGTGAGGTTCCATCATGCTTCTAAAGCTCCACTATCATCCCAGTACCTAAGAAATCCTCCCCTACCGAACTGAATGACTACAGACCCGTGGCTTTGACATCAGTAGTCATGAAGTCCTTTGAGCGCTTGGTGCTGTCCCATCTTAAAAGCACCACAGGCCACCAGCTGGATCCCCTGCAGTTTGCCTATAGGGCAAACAGGTCAGTGGATGATGCAATTAACATGGGGCTGCACTTCATCCTGGAACATCTTGATCAACCAAGGACCTACGCAAGGATATTGTTGATTTTAGCTCTGCTTTTAACACCGTTATACCAGAAATCCTCACCTCAAAGCTCTCTCAGCTCACTGTTTCCCCTGCTATGTCAGTGGATTTCCAGCTTCCTGACAAATAGGAGCCAGCATGTGTGGTTGAACAATGTTACATCTGGCACAAGGCTGATCAGCACCGGTACACCACAGGGGTGTGTCCTTTCTCCACTGCTCTTTTCATTGTACACCAATGACTGCACCTCTAATGACTCAGCTGTAAAAATCCTGAAATTTGCAGATGACACCACTGTCATTGGGCTCATCCAGGATGGTGATGAGTCTGCTTATCAGCGAGAAGTTGAGAGGCTGGTGGTCTGGTGTAGTCAGCACAATCTTGAGCTTAACACCCTTAAGACTGTGGAGATGGTCGTGGATTTTAGGAAGCTTACCACAGTGCTGCCCCCCCTCACATTATCCAACAGCCCAGTGTCAATGGTGGACTCATTCAAGTTCTTGGGAACTATCATTTCCAGGGATCTGAAGTGGGAAACAAACATCAACTCCATCGTCAAAAAGGCTCAGCAGAGGATGTATTTCTTACGGCAACTAAGGAAGTACGGCCTACCACAAGAGCTGCTGATCATCTTCTACACTGCTGCAGTCGAATCCATACTTTGCTCATCCATCACTGTCTGGTTTGGGTCAGCCACAGAAATGGACAAATGCAGACTACAGCGTATTATTAAAACAGCAGGAAAAATCATTGGTGCCCAACTGCCCTCTGTCCAGGAACTGTACATCAGCAGGAGCAGGAAAAAGGCAGAGAATATTGTCCAAGATGCCACACATCCTGCATCTACTCTCTTCCATCTCCTCCCATCTGGCAGACGCGATAGATCGCTGTACACAAAAACCACCAGACACAAGAACAGTTTCTTTCCTTCAGCCATTTCTCTCCTGAATCTGTAGATTCTGTTACCGTCCTTTTACTATAGTTTTTAATACTTATTCAGTATGCTTATGGATATGAGTTTGTGTGTATATACATATGTATATGTGTGTGTATGTATATATGTATAAATATGTGTGTGTAAATGTACATGTGTGTGGGTATGCATGTTCTTATGTGTTTTTTATGTGTTTTTTATTCTCATGTATTGTGGTTGTTGTCTGTTTTAGAGAGCGAACATCTACCGAAGCTAAATTCATTGTAAATGTACTTTTACTTGACCAATAAATCTGAAATCTGACAGACATTTGCTATCTTTGGTGTGTTGTTACTGTGTTTAGTTTCTAATTCCATTTTTGGTTCTTTTAAAAACACAGGAAAGGTTTTTTTTCTTTACTTTGCTGACGTACGTTTCGTTTGCTGACTGCCAAACGGAGTAGGAAGTGATGCCACCATCAGCGTCAGCTCTGAGGATGTTTTGCAGTCGGCAAACGAAATGTTAGCAAGGTAAAGAAAAACCTTTCCTGTGTTCGAATGTGTGTTGTTAGCAGCTCCGCCCTCTCGGTCTGCTAGGCAACAGCATTTGTTGCATTTTTCAAACAGGAAGTGGGAGTTGAGTAAGAATCTGGTAGGGGGTGACTTGCTCTTTAAACAATTACTGCACACTTTCTGTAAATCCTTTATCCTGTGTTTCACTTCTCAAATATCACTGTGTGTTTCATACATGATGTACTTAACTGGAATGTTTTATCGTAGCAACCAACGATGTATACAGGAAACTCAAGAAGGTTAACAAGACTGCCCAAACCTTCATGTTCCACTGTGTGTGTGTGTAAGCACAGTAATGAACTGGATGTGTTTCGGTTCTTGTGTAGGAACCGAGTGGACGGGTGTCAAACATCGAATGCTAGCTGGTATAATCACAGACTACTTCTTTGGCTTTGGCTACATTTTATTGGCTGGAGTGGCGTACCTCATCAGAGACTGGCGGAAGCTGCAGCTTGCTATATCAGCACCTGGCTTCCTCTTCATCATCTACATCTGGTGAGTGGGCCGAATCTTGACCCAGTAGAGGAGGTAGAGGTTCTTCAGTTCCTCCAATAGGTTTCTGGGAGCATCCTAAGAATATCTTTGCAACTGGATAGCTGTGTCAATAGGACTGGGTGATTTGGCCTAAAGTCTCTGATTTTATTTATTTTTTATTCGATTTACAATTTTTTCCCCAAAAATATTAGCTCCGAACAAAATGTGCAAAATAAATAATACATAAACTCTAACTAACATTAATAGAGTGCAAACTTTGATTAAAAAATTACCCGTGCCATTTGTGTCCCTGAATGTGAACATGGATGAGTTGCAGAGCATGAGATCTGTAGTACTGCTGGACAGAGGTGTCTTCAGGGATGTGAATGTACGTAGAGGTGTATGTGTCTGTAGGTGTATACACGTGACGTGCTTGTCTAGAAAACACAAATAAAAGGGAGAAGAAGAGATCTCCATTACTGTTTATAATTAACGCATCTATCAGCAGACAGCAATACGTGTTTGAATTTACAGCTCTAGTACTGTGATCCCCACCACCACAATACGTCCACCAGATGGCACTATCAAGCCACAAACCTGCAACAGGCTCAACTGGCCAACAGAGACACCTGACTCTGCTCACCACCAACATCTAGGGTTAAATCCAGCCAGGTAAACGGGATGAATCGCAAAGCAAACATTCACTCAAGTACACACACAGCAAAGATACACCCACAAAACCCCCAACACCTCTCAACTGCCCAATCAACAATCAGCTGAGCACGCTCAGGATGCCATATTCGATGTTGAGGTGCATGATGGGACATGTAGTATGATAATGCTAAACAGGGGACTTTTAACAAGATCTGTGCTTAAGTGGCTGTCAACATTCAAACATTTTTGAGAAGGAAAATCAGCCTGTCCCCTGCTTCTGGCCTGAGTCGAGCTCTACTGCATGCTACAACTCCTCCCCTCACACTGAAGAGCCTCTCAGATGGGGCACTTGCTGAAGGGATACTGAGGTATTGCTGGCTTTCACATGACGCTGCATCTACGTCACCAAATGCAGACGGTAGTCCGGAAGTAGCCGGCGCTGCACAAAACCCGATTTACTTTGGTGACTGGGCGTTAAAATGCAGAAATTCCACGTGGAGCACGGTTATTACAACCACTCCAACCGGAACAGAGACAAATGTTGTGTTCAAGTCCTGAACGTAGCGCGCCACAAAGGACTTAATGAAAAAATAATGTAGTGAAAGAAGACCGCAGAATTGGATCAGTAATCTACGGCTTAAAACTGGAGCTGAACCAGCCGCTGCTGGGGTTTACAGCGATCACTTTCCAACAGCTAAGAGCTTACTGAGTGTTTTATTAAACAGTTGCTTAGAAACAGCCATAAAAACCACAGGCTAACAAACTGTTTCATGTCCTCACTGCTAATAGCTTCCAGAGTGCTGCTGTTTTAGCAGTTAGCTTATTTTTGTAGCATGGTGTTTATACCTTGTTAAAATCAAACAAACGTACCAGAAATTCGGATTTAAAAGGCATAAAAAGTTAGTTACAATTAGATCCTAGCACCTACTGATTGTTAGCATTAGCGATAGCAATATTATCACGATCTAATGAATTAAAATAGCACAACTCGCTACTTACCCGGGCAAAAACACGACAGCGGTCATTTAAAGCTTCTCCGGATCACTGACATGTTAGCCAACCTGAAATAAAACAGCTGCAGGCTTCCAGGTGTGGAAAAGTCTGCCGTTCGGTTTGCAGTGCCATACGAGGAAGACCGTCTGTTGCTGATCGCTTCAGTGCTGCGTAAATCCTCCACAGTGAATGAAAAGTGTGACTTTTAAAACTAAACGGGTCATAACCTAAAAGATGTATTGAGTAAAATCACTTTCACCCATCACGCACGGCTGCAGACGTACACGAGTGAAACCCAGCAGTGTGTTGGTCAGGTGACCGAGCCTTGAGAAGTTTGGTTTGTTGCTCGTCCACCATTGCAGTGGATCAGTGTCAGGGTCTGCCTCTGGCAAGGGCAGATAGGTTGCCAGTTCAGTCTTTATTTCAGCTTTGCTTGAAGAAGGTTGCTAAGCTCCTTTTCCTCTTGGGTCTGGCTGAGACCTTGCCTCTTGTCCCACCCGCACAACTGGGCCAGGCTGTGGTGAGCTTTCTTCAGTGCAGAAGTTCACTGACAGCTCTTCTTTTGATGTGCTCCACCTTCTCTGTCTTGACGTAGGGCATCAGGAACCCTAGATCCATCAGAGGTCCTATCAAAGAGCTCATCTTTGACAGGATCACTGTATTTCTCAACCAGATATCCCAGCATACTCCTTTTTTTAAATCATTTTTGAAAGCTCCGTGTTGTCCTCAGGTTGCAAAAGACTGGTTTTGAACAGATGGATAACAGTCTTGATGTATGAGACACTAGTCACGTTTAAACGCGCCAAACTTCCCCAATCCGATTCAAGTCTTGGTTGATTGGAAATCCCGAATCTCTGTTTACGCTCACACTAACTGGAATCATCCAGTCATGCCGTGAGTTTATATGCACCAAGTGTCCAATCAGAGGTTGAGCACGCACAGTTTTCTTTATCAAAGAAAAAAAAATGCAAACAAACGTCATGATACAAAGACTGTGTTCATCATGTGTCCATCATGTGTCCATCATGTGTTCATCATGTGTTCATCATGTGTCCATCATGTGTCCATCATGTGTCCATCATGTGTTCATCATGTGTTCATCATATGTTCATCATGTGTTCATCATGTGTCCATCATGTGTCCATCATGTGTCCTTCATGTGTTCATCATGTGTCCATCATGTGTTCATCATGTGTCCTTCATGTGTCCATCATGTGTCCATCATGTGTCCATCATGTGTTCATCATATGTTCATCATGTGTTCATCATGTGTCCATCATGTGTCCATCATGTGTTCATCATGTGTCCATCATGTGTTCATCATGTGTCCTTCATGTGTCCATCATGTGTCCATCATGTGTCCATCATGTGTTCATCATATGTTCATCATGTGTTCATCATGTGTCCATCATGTGTCCATCATGTGTTCATCATGTGTCCATCATGTGTCCATCATGTGTCCATCATGTGTTCATCATGTGTCCATCATGTGTCCATCATGTGTCCATCATGTGTTCATCATGTGTTCATCATGTGTCCATCATGTGTTCATCATGAGTTCATCATGTGTCCATCATGTGTTCATCATGTGTTCATCATGTGTCCATCATGTGTTCATCATGTGTTCATCATGTGTCCATCATGTGTCCATCATGTGTCCATCATGTGTTCATCATGTGTCCATCATGTGTCCATCATGTGTTCATCATGTGTCCATCATGTGTCCATCATGTGTCCATCATGTGTTCATCATGTGTCCATCATGTGACCATCATGTGTTCATCATGTGTTCATCATGTGTTCATCATGTGTCCATCATGTGTCCATCATGTGACCATCATGTGTTCATCATGTGTTCATCATGTGTTCATCATGTGTCCATCATGTGACCATCATGTGTTCATCATGTGTTCATCATGTGTTCATCATGTGTCCATCATGTGTCCATCATGTGTCCATCATGTGTTCATCATGTGTCCATCATGTGTCCATCATGTGTTCATCATGTGTTCATCATGTGTCCATCATGTGTCCATCATGTGTTCATCATGTGTTCATCATGTGTTCATCATGTGTTCACCATGTGTCCATCATGTGACCATCATGTGTCCATCATGTGTTCATCATGTGTCCATCATGTGTTCATCATGTGTTCATCATGTGTCCATCATGTGTCCATCATGTGTCCATCATGTGTTCATCATGTGTCCATCATGTGTCCATCATGTGATCATCATGTGTCCATCATGTGTCCATCATGTGTCCATCATGTGTTCATCATGTGTCCATCATGTGACCATCATGTGTTCATCATGTGTTCATCATGTGTCCATCATGTGTTCATCATGTGTCCATCATGTGACCATCATGTGTTCATCATGTGTTCATCATGTGTTCATCATGTGTCCATCATGTGACCATCATGTGTTCATCATGTGTTCATCATGTGTCCATCATGTGTTCATCATGTGTTCATCATGTGTCCATCATGTGTTCATCATGTGTTCATCATGTGTCCATCATGTGTCCATCATGTGTCCATCATGTGTTCATCATGTGTCCATCATGTGACCATCATGTGTTCATCATGTGTTCGTCATGTGTTCGTCATGTGTTCGTCATGTGTTCATCATGTGTCCATCATGTGACCATCATGTGTTCATCATGTGTTCGTCATGTGTTCGTCATGTGTTCGTCATGTGTTCGTCATGTGTTCGTCATGTGTTCATCATGTGTCCATCATGTGTCCATCAAGTGTTAAACGAACGGCATCTCATCTCCTCTGTGTTAACATGTTTTACACACACAGTCACCCAGAATATTTACCTGAGGATGTTTTTCTACCCATCAGCCTCCTTAAACCCACACCAGGTGTGTGTAACCGATGTTCCCCGGACTTCCTTACAGCACCTCTCATCCACCTGCTGCAGAAACACCTGCTGCCTTCACAGAAGCAGACCCGTGCTGCAAACCCCAGATGAATCTGCGTGTTTCCAGTACACACATGAACATGTTTGTCGAACGGTTTGTGCAATAATCAGATGTATATGTTACTTCCACAAAGTTCTGGATTGGATATCACAGAAGTGGGGACTCTTGCCGTCTCCTTTAAAGGCCGTCGTTAGTTAGGCGTCATTCATTAGGTCAGGTAGTCTAAATGACGAGGCTCTGCTGCTGCACACACGCCCAGTGGGCGTTATTTACTCCCAACAATCCGAATGGCTGTGTACATGCTCGTCTATCGGAATGATGATCGAACAAAACCACCTCTCTCAATCAGATTGAAATTTCATTCCGATCGGGCCGAACCGGATCTCAATATTCCGATTGACATGTTTTTTATCTGATTGGGTGTTAAATCTGATTAAACGTGTCCATGTAAACGTGGCTAGTGACACACATTTCCCCAGACAGTGCATCTTTAAAGTCTCGGAGTGCTTTAATCGCCTTGTTTACCGACACCAAATCCTTGATGTCTTGCCATCTTAATGGCACAAGCTCTAGCCTTTTCCTGTTCCGGGAATGGCTCAATCATCTTTTGCCGGGAAGCCCGTCTGATTGGGTATTCTGCTTTTAACTGCTGAGGTGGAAGGCCAAGCTCTGACTGAGCTACACCCAGCTCTGTTCTTTCCCTCCAGCAGCGACCATCTTCTTACTCCAACGGCACGATCTACGTGGGGATTTCAACACTGTTTCCTGTGTGATGAAGGATAAAACACAATGACACACATCGCCATTGGGGACTAATAGATTTGCAGCTTGACAGCACCTGTGTTTGACCATGACGCACAGCATCTAACCAGGGCATACCCATGCTGGACCCTCCTATTTCAAATATTTTTTGGGTTATTCTCCTACAATCTCGAAAAACAACACATTCTCCAGCATCTAATGTCACTTACGCCCCTCGGGGAAGGGTGGGGTGGGGGGGGGGGAAGGGGGGGCACGCCCCACCACTTGGGTACCACTCTCCTAGATGAAAGTAGCTAATGACAGGAGTAGTGGTATAACAAAGTCTAGCTTGTCTGGTTTGGATGAGAATAAAATTGTCACGTTCCGTGTCCTTGTGACCCGCTTCCCTTCACATCTCCACTCCTTGTGTCATCTCTTTAGATTAGGTATTAACCCTGCCTTTTCGTGTATTTAGTTGTGTAACTCTTTAGGTCTTTTATCTTTAGTTGTCCGGTGTCTATAGTCCCGTAGTGTTCAGGTTAGTTCATGTTCAGTAGTTTTTGTTTTACAGGTTTTTAGAAGAAGAAGAAGAAATCATCATTTCTATAGCGCCTCTCAAGATAAAAATCACGAGGCGCTTCACAAAAACAAAAAATGTAAAAATATAAAAAATAATTTAGAAAATGATTAAAAATATATTTAAATTGAGCAAAAAATAGACAGTTGTGATTAAAAATGTTAAGAAAGAGAGAGAGAGAGAACAGGAAAGAGGTAAACCAGTGGATCCTGAGGAAGGTGGGATAGGTGGGGAGAGCAGAATAAAGAGAGGGTGGTGATGAAGGTCACACCAAAGCCAGCTTGAACAGGTGAGTTTTAATGTGAGAATAAAGTAGAACGTATGGAGCCAGCAAATCCCACGCATTGTTTATGAAATACGCCGATAAACTCATGTAAGGCTGCAAAGTCTGACTGGCCCACATGTCGGCTGTTGCTGAATAAAAGGACCGCTCCTCCAGTTCCCTGTGGACTTTTGTTGGTGTGTTGTTGTACAGCTGTGGCGAGACTGGATCGCTCCTATCTGGTTTTAAGCCAACCCTTCTTCTCTAAGGTGTATGTCGGTACCACGTCTTTGGCTGTGTGCAAAGCTACTGCTTCGTTGATTGAAGTTCACCGTGTTCCTTTCCTGTCATACGCTGTGCCTCGTGCAAAGGATTAGGCTACAGCTAGCTGTTGTTAAGCTAATGCTTGTTAATGATGACCGCGGTTTTGTTCGTCTCGGAGAGGCTAGCCCTTTTACTGGGCAGGAGGCCTCTGTTTCAGGTGTTGGAACAGGTTTGTGGTGCTGATCTTTGACTGCGACAGTCCCAAGCAAATGCTGCAGCGTAGGAGCTCTTGCTCCACGCCTGACGCAGCAAACCCAAACCACTGCCAACCGAAGGATTTCATTCCTTTCTTAGGAACAAACTTCCCACTCTCACCGGGGCCTTGGTGAGGCTCGCTGTTGCTATGACGTTGTCGCAGTTATGTAAACTAATGCTAAAGAAACTCTGGGGAGCCGAAAAGATGCTAATAAATAAATATTCCATTTACTTATTGTTTAAATCTTCGGCAACAGAAAATTCAAAAGCAGTAATGAACTGGATTTATCACCCAGGCCTAAGTGAGAACTTCTCTGGTGTGTTTAGTCTCAAATTCCATCTTTCAGTTTTAAAAAGAACCGAAAGATGGAATTTGGGACTAAGTGAGAATTGTTTGGTTGTTGTAGATATTATGTTCAGCACAAGAAAATGTCATGCTGGTTTGTACTGAGCTTGACTTGTTGTGCAATTTCCTTATGATAATTCATGTTTGACACACGCAGTGGAAGGAAAGAACGATGGCTGCGTTCCAGCAGGTTGTTGACTGAGTCAGTCAGAGTGCCCTAAAGCACTGTCAACAATTGTTTGTAATTCATTTTGAGTTGTTGGCTGATCAACTGTTCTGCTTTCAGGGTGTTGCCTAAATCAGCTCGTTGGTTAATGGCCAACAACAGGAATGAGGAAGCGTGGGAAATTATTGTGAAGGCCGCACAGATGAATGGGAGGCTTATAACCAAAGACCTGGAAATGTGTCAGGTAAGATCCCAACAACTGGTTTCCTCTTGCTGACGCTTTTGAGTTTTCACAGCCTTCTACGGGAGAAGCTGCAGAGTTCTGCTCCTGTCTGGATCCCTTCCTCCTTTGCAGCATAGCCAGAGAGGGAAGTCAGTTTCAGTTCAGTCAAGTTTAATTATATAGCACCAAATCAGGACCAGAGTCCTCTCAAGGACCTTCACGCAGTAAATGTTCTTCACAGCAATCCTCAAACTAAGCAAGCATGTAGCGACGGTGGAGAGGAAAACTCCTTTTTAACAGGAAGAAACCTCCAGAGGATCCTGGGTCAGTATAAGCAGCCATCCTCCACGACTCACTGGGGATGGAGAAGACAGAGCACACACACACACACACACAGACACACACACAGACACACACACACACACACACACACACACACACACACACACACACACACACACACACACACACACACACACACACACACACACACACAGCTGGGGCCTGAGCGGTAAGCTAGGCTCTGCAGAGATAACAAATGTAACCCGCGCTGCTTCCTCTGCATTTCATTTTTGACAGACCTACCAACCTAAAGACAAAACCACGCTGAAGAAATACTCCTTCCTTGACCTGATTCGAACCCCTACTATGAGGAAGCAGTCTCTGATTGTTTTTTATCTCTGGTAAGTACTAGCACTTCTGATTCAGCATTCAAACTACGGTGGGATGCAAACGTTTGGCCAGCCTTGTTAATAATCTTCATGAGCTTCTTGTGTGAAGCCCGGATCACACTGTGTTACTGAGACACGAGTGGGACCTCTAGGAAACATAAATCTACAACGCTACCGAAGTTTAAGAGGACTAGTCCTCTGATCAAACTAGTAAACGGTACAAAAATTAAAATATTAATATCAAAAGGTTCCAAAACAAGGCAAGCAGCACAACCACAAAAGCAAACTAAAGGAAATTTACTCCAAAAGCTCAGATGATGATGATGATGCCAGAATGAACACTTAAAATAAGCCTGTGCTGGGCCTCAGAGGACAAAGCAGTGCAGCCCACCCTCCTGCGGTGCGCGTCGTCCTCGGGGAGCCACAGGACACACACCCCCCCCACCCCCACCCCCTCGGTCCGGCCACTCTGGGCAAAAAACTCCCGCAATAAAGGTCCCCAGCACCAGACCACACAAAGAGCAACAGCGAACTCCAAATTCTGCCAGGAACTGATCCTTTACTTATGCGCGGGGACAGAGTGAGGGGCTCGACACACGGGAGGCGAAAAACGACCGCCATCAGCGAAATTCGCCGCTGTCGCTTTTATTACCTGACACACGGGAGGCGACCTGCGGCAGCGGCCAGCGGCAAAGCCGTCTACGCGTTCTGTTCCATGGCGAAATGGAAACTTCCGTTGTTTTGCTTGGCTGTGTCAGGTTGGAGGGAATTAAGGTTATTTAAGCGGTTCAGAGTTAATAAAGCGGTAGATATGATGTTTCACAAGGTGCTGCTAGAGTTATGTGAAATCTCACTTCTGATTTTACTATAAAACATAATAATAATCAACTTCTCCTCCATGTTTGCTCGGAGATGTACGGAGCATCCTGTCCGCTCATTCGTCAGTAGAGTTGGGCATTGAGCATCGATTGGAACCGGTTCCAACTGTTCATTTTTCCCAGAATCGTTCAACGTTTTTTATTTCGATTCCTAGTTTCGATTCCTAGAATGCCGACGGAAGAGGAATCCGCGGCCGATCTCCGTGAAAAATAAACGTGATCTGCAAATTGTGATCAACGCTTTTCAGAGCTGATCACACCAGCTGTCTGTGTGCAGCACCGAGTCCCCCCCCCCACCCCCACCCAGATACAAACAAGCGTGTCTGTCGAACCTTTACTCCGTAACGTAAACTTTAACTCCTGCAGCGTAGAGGAAACGTGTTAAATACGTCAACACGGTGGATTTAATAGAAGCTTAAAGAACAAACTCTGGACGGTGTGAGGTGAGTTTGTCTCACTGCAGAAATAAAAACACACACGGAGCGTCAGCAGTCGGACGCAGCCGCTCACCAACACTCGTGTGTGTGTGTGTGTGTGTGTGTTTATGTTTATTCATTTAGCAGACGCTTTTATCCAAAGCGACTTATAATTGATAACCTGTAGGGCATGTTGTGATCAGTGGGGGAAACCGGAGTACCCGGAGGAAACCCACGCAGGCATGGGGAGAACACGCAACTCCACGCAGAATGGCCGCAGCTGAGTTTCGAACCTGCAACCTTCGTGCTGCAAGGCAACAGTGCTAACCACTGCGCCACCATGCAGCCCAGTGTGTGCGTACGTGTGTGTGTGTGTGCATGTGTGTGTGTGTGTGTGAGCGTCAGAAGGCTGAACAATAACCTGTAGAATCATTAAAGTCATCATGCTAGAGCAGCTTCTCTGTGGTGGACCACACCAGCTTCTGCCACCATAAATAATAATAATAATAATAAGAAGAATAATAATAACATTTTCATTTCCTTTCTGAACTGTTTCTGTTGAGTTTTAAGGTTTAAAATCTGTTAGATTGTTACTGACAGCAGCTACGTTTAGCCTTGCTCTGCCTGAGTGTTCACGGCTCCCGGGTCAGTGGGTTTAAGATTTTTGGAGTCTGCCTGATTGATCCCGGTGGCTGCCTGGTGGGATCTGAGTCTCTGAGCTCTGTTGGGTCCCCAGCAGGCTGGTCGCCCCTGGGTCCTGGGCCGCTGGGTCCCGGGCTCGGCCGGCTGGGGGGTAGGAGGCTGCGGGCAGGCCTGTGGGCTTGCTCCTGTTTATTGTTGTGTGTTGTTTTTCTGCAGGTCTAGAAGCAGACCCCTGTTCCTCATTGGGTTTTATCCATATGGAACCCCTCCCCCCAATTATAATAAAAAAATTAAAGCTGCAAGCAACGCCGTTCGGCCCTCGCAGCTCCACGCCGCTCCGGCCTGGCCGGCAGTCTGGTGCACCCGGGCATGTCTGCTGAACAGAAACGTCGACCACCCTGACACCAGAAACCGCGAACGGTCTCCTCGTCTGCACCTCACCCTGACTCAGCATCCCCTCTGAGCCCACCATTAAATTACACATCTAACCACTAGGGGATAGTCTATCTTTACCACACTGGTGGTGTGATCACACAGAGCAAGTTTAATGCTATTCTGACCACGTTTTTTGAAGTAATTGAAGGTTGAATTTATCTAGGGGGCACTGTGACCAACTACAGAAAAATCCCATTGAGGTCAGCTTTGGTTGACAAAGATGGTTTTCTGTTATTTTGGCATCAATCAGACGTTGTGTTTGTTATCTAGAGCCAGAGAGCCGAAAGGGGATGGAGCTACCAACAACCACATCAATGTGTTTGGTGCAGTCATATGATGACACAAGCCAAGTTTAATGCCATTCTGACTTTGTATTATGAAGTAATTAACTCTTAATCTTATCTAGGGGGCACTGTGACCAATTACATAAAAACCCCATTGAGGTACTCTTAGGGAGTCAAAGATGGTTTTGGGGTAGTTTGGTATCAATCAGACGTTGCGTTTGTTTTCTAGAGCCAAAGAGCTGAAAGGGAGCGGAGCTAAAGGGATTTGAACCAACAACCACAGTCACGTGATGACACAAGCCAAGTATAATGCCATTCTGACCTTGTCTTTAGAAGTTGATGAAGTTTGAACCCATCTAGGAGGTGCTGTGACCATTTACAACTAAATCCCATAGAGGTCATCTTTGGTCATCAAAGATGGTTTCCTGTTAATTTGGCATCAATCAAACGTTGCATGGGTCATCTAGAGACAAAAGGCTGGCTGTAAGTGGGCAGAGTTAAAGTGATTTGAACGAGTGAGCACATACATGTGTTGATTGCAGTTGTGTGATGACTCCCACAATGTTTGATGAAGTTTGGAGCTTTTTTGCAGAAGTTACAAAGGTTTTATTGTATCTAGGGGGCGCTGTCCCAAATTTAGGAAATATTCCATGACGCAGTTTGTAGGGTGACAACAATCATTTGTGTGCAGTTTGGTGTGAATTGCATCATGCATGTGTTATTCAGGGCCTAATATCTGTCAGGGGGCAGAGGTAAAGCAATATCAACCAATGACCACAGGATTTTGTTGGGTTCCTTTGTGTGATGACACATAGCAAGTTTGGTGCAGATACAACCTCATCTGTAGGAGTTATTACAGTTTTAAAGGTATGTAGGGGGCGCTGTGGTGATATTATACCACGTTCACCAGCCGTTTGTGCCTCATGTTGATTGCCTTGTTCAGTCTCGTGCAGATCGGATGCTGTTTGTGGAAGTTACAGTCAAACGTAAGGTCACGGCGTCACGCCAGAATTCGCCATGGCATCAAAGCCCCTCCCTATCTGCAAAGCTGTCAGAACTGAATGGCCATTACAGCATCATGAAGACAGTGCATGACCTGTCATGTTGACTAAGGCCCTGTCCACACGTAGCCGGGGATCTGCCAAAACGTAGATATTTTTCTACGTTTTGGCCTGTCATCCACGCAAAAACGGAGTTTTTTCACACGAAAATGGATCTTTTTAAAAACTTCGGCCAAAGTGAAGATCTGCGTTTTCTCCGTTTTGGGTGTCTGCGTGTGGACGGACAAAACCAGAGTTTTAAGATCCGCAATGTCACTTTCCGCGACAAAAAATGCTGACATCACGTGTGCGACCTGTGTTTACACTAGCCGACATCATGGATGCCCTCAGAGCTGCGCTCTGTCACTACCCGATCCATCAATTGTCCAAGTGCTTTTTGCTTGTTTGTTTTTGCAAGCGGAATTACTGCTCCTTGTGGAAGACCACAGACGAAGGACGAGGTTAAGAACGGGGGAAGTACTGCCGCTACAGGTCTGGCATGTCCTTAACAACATATTTATCCGGGTATGTGTGGACAGAGTTTTGTTTTAAAACGAGGTGGTGTGGACGCAAGTTTTTGGAGGGGCGGATATTCGTTTTCAAAAAACCCCGGCTACGTGTGGACTGGGCCTAAATTAGAGGGGACAAATATGGGCATTTCACCATAAAACAATCAACTTCCGGTTGTCAGGGGGTGGGGCTTAGGTGATGTCAGAAGTTTGAAGGTGATCGGTGAAAAGGGCGATGGGGCATCATTCTCCAAACAACGTGTGCAAAAACCACTAAATCGAGTACTTGGACCAAAATAGCCGACCACCTGTGTGACTTTGCGCTTGGCTCCAAGAGACTTTTTTTGTAGACACTAAATTAGCATACCAAATTTCGTAATCCTCAGTCAAAGGATGGCGTGGGGCTAACAATTTTAATGATCCTAGGGGGCGCTATTTAAGAAAATAGGCCACGCCCACCAGATTTTCACATCAGATTTTTTGGGGGACCAGAAGTTTAGTGGCGATATCTTTAGAAATGACGAAATTGGAGGCAAACGTATGGCCATGGCGGTACGCCTGACTTCGCCGTTCCGCCACAGCCCCACCCTCTTTTGAAAACTCGCATAAAGTGACGCCAAGAAACACCCACTTGTCTTGAGTCACCAGCTACAAATTTGTGGTGATTAAGTGAAATGGGGCGATTTGGGACCTATCACTGTAAAACGTGGCCTTTTTGGTCCTGAGGGGGCGGGGCTTGTGTGATGCCATCATCCGACCATTCAGTTTAGTTTGTGGCTGGATGACGAATGACCACAGAAATTTTTGTAACTCTACTGAATTTGAGTATGAAGTTATAGCCATTTATATTTTTTTGGCGAGTAATCGAAATTCGAGGCCTGGACACGCCCCCTCAGCATATACAAACAGTCAGTTTTATTTTTTCTATTTAGTCACCCATCCCTTCTGAGCAATTTCCCACAACTTTCGAGACGATCGTGCCAAAAATGATCGAGTAAATGAATCAGAAGTGGACCTTAGAAAAGGCCAAAACGGGATCAAAATCACCATTTCAAACCAAAATGGCTGACTTCCTGTTAGATGTTGACCATGGTTGCAAGAGGCTTTTCTGTGCAGACTGTTGAGTACTACATGTCTACAAAATTTCATGACTGTACGATAAACTATGCTGTATGGAGGGGGGTATTTTTCACATTCTAGGGGGCGCCGTGGAGCTAGTTTTATTGAGATTTTTTTGGGACCTTTAAAATACAAAATTTTACACCACGCCTGACATGTGTGCAAAAATTCTTGAGTTTTTGGGTATGCTGAGGCCTCCAAAAAGACAATTTACTTGGCGGAAGAAAAATAAACAGAGCAGATACCATAGGCCTTCGCAGCACTTTCGCTGCTTGGGCCTAAAAAACAAATCTTTATCATTTGCAATAAAATTTGTAAACATGACAGAATATGACATCATACCATCAAAACATTAAAATGTATTTCTCTCCGGATGTGTACTCACCAAGCTCAGATTGTCACATCTATTGTTTTACTCTCAGCTGCGAACATTTTCTCCCTTTAGACATAACTTTTAGTGGAATAAACATCAGTTATTTATTTCAGGTTAGCCAGGGGTTGTTCAAAGAGAGGACTCTGATTGGTTCTTTTCTCATCTCGTCTAGACTGGTTCTTTTTTCCGGTCTCCCATCCTTTCTGTTTTTTGACTGGATTTTAATTTCTGTCTTGTCGTCTCTTATTTGTCAACAAAAAATGTCGGTCAATGTTCATCATAATTTAATCTTTATTATGCCAATAAAGATTAATGGCATGAATGTTTTCATTTTCATCTCGTTTTAGTCTGCAAAAAGTAATTTGTCACAAAAAACTAACAAATATTTAGTCAACAAAATTAACCTCGGGCTGAAGGAACCCGCTGTGCCTGTGCTGGGCTGAATGGCCTCCATCAGTATGCTGCAGGGCTGGTCACCACCAGTATTTGAATGAATGAATGAATGAATATGTTTCTCTGTAGTGAAAAGCGCTCTGGAGTCCTCTGACTCTGAAAGGCGCTATGAAAGGTCAGTTATCCTTGATCGAAAACAGGTGAGGAGTGAGTTTGCGACAAATGTGTGTCTAAAGTTCGGCTGTTTGCCAACTAGGATAACAAACAGAAGTTAAACTAATTTATGACATTTTTCTTCTTTGTGTTGCAGGTTTGTTAATGTTCTTGTGTACTACAGTCTGTCCCTCAACATTTCTGACTTTGGCATGAACCTCTACCTGACCCAGATGATCTTCGGTCTGGTTGAGATGCCCGCACGCACCATAACCCTTTTCACACTCAACCAGTCCAGAAAATTTTCTCAGTTGGCGTTTCTTGGAGTTGGAGGCTCTGCTTGTCTTTTGACCACTTTCATTCCAGACAGTATGTAGACTCATGGCCCTGGACAAATGGGCACCTTCCAACACAAATCCATTACCTGCTTGATTTTCATTATTTTTGAACAGATGTGTTTTGCCCTTGCCCTTGTCCTTAGGCCTGCCCATTGTCAGAACAATTCTAGCTATGATTGGGAAGTTTGGAATCACAGCTTCGCTGTCCATCATCTATGTTTACTCAGCTGAAGTGTTCCCCACGGTAATTAGGTGAGTGTCCCCTGCATTCGCCCCTGTCACAGGAGACCATCCTTAGAAACGGTGTGCTGAACCTGAACATCATAAAAATTACCCTAACCCATAATTAATAACACAACATGTTCTAACCCTGTTTATTTTAAAGTTGTGAGACGTTTGTTTAATCATTACATTTCTAGTGGTCTCTATCAGTCAATCAATCAGATTTTATTCATAAAGCGCTGTTCAAGCAAAGTGTGACACAAAGTGCTTTACAGACTTAAAATGACCCCAAATTCCCGTAGCAGGTGGAAAACACACACACACACACACACACACACACACACACACACACACACACACACACACACACACACACACACACACACACACACACACACACACACACACACATCAGTAAAAATTTATATTTGGCTGAGTCCAGATGAGCCAAGTAAGGTAAGACAAGGAAGCACCATCAGAGGAGCCGTCTGCCCCGGCAGCATCAGGTCTTCCACAATAAGTCAGGGCGCTCAGAAGAGGGGGAGCGTAGACCCCCACCTCCACTTAAGCACTACCTGTAGAGCGCCCAGGAAGCAACAGTCGACCACCACCCCCGGGGCAGAGGGCCCCTTCAGGGAAAACACCGGATTAAAATGAGTAAAAATCTAAAAATGAAAGAGCTAACATAAATGACAAAAGTAAGAAAATAAATAAATAAAATCATATGGACAGTAACATAATAATTTAAATAATGAAACTGGGCTAAAATATAATCATATAAAACATGCAAAGCCAGTAATAAAATATAATCATGTAAAACGACAAATCAAACTATAGTAAATAATTAGACGGGGGGGTCATTTTTCCTTGGCCCCCAAAATGCCTTGAAACGGCCCTGGGTGTGTGACTGAGTTTTGAAAGTGATCTGAATTGTATCAGATGTATAAATATTACATGTGTATAACTTGTTGTTTTATACAGGTAGAAACACGTAGTGGACATAAATCTACCTACATTTTACTTTGTTTTCTTGTTTTTATTTAACTATTTTCCTGTCCTGTCTGTCTCTCATCTTCCTGCATCTCCTCTAAACTCTCCAGAAAAACTGCTGCCTGGATTCTTACTTTTTCACCTCATCAGTTACTTCTGAGCAGATCAAAGGGATCTCCTGACCGCAAAGCGGAGAGGCGTGTCGATGCTGCGTCAGTGAGGTGAAATCACCGCAGCACAGGTGATGAGCTCCGCAGTAGCAGAGCGCTTCAGGCACAAATAAGACAGAAAATAGAGAACATGTGCGGACATGAACGATCGTGTGTTAATTATAGTTTTTTGGTCGCACCACTTTGAGAATGGACCGTGCGCTGAACAACGCAGCAGCCTGGAGCGCACCAACGATCATCGCTATATGTGCTCTCTGCTCAAAAGAGTCAATAAATGATGTAATATAGGTAGAAAACTTTTTTCCGGCTCCCCTGGATGTGTAGGATATCCAGCTCCCCCAGAATTCGATCCCTGCTCCTGGATGAAAAACCGGACATTTTCATCAATACAAGAACCGCCCGGATGCCCGGACAGAGAGTGAAAAGTGGACATGTCCGGGGAAAAGAGGACGTACGGTCACCCTAGTTTAATATAAAGTGGGAGATTACAGATGTAGTATTTTGCTCGTGCCCTTGCTTTCCTGGGCCTGGGCCCTTTAGAGTTTGTGGGCTGCAGGGCAATTGCCCAGTTACCCATATGGATAATCCGACCTTGCTTGTGGGAATAGGGTCCAGAACACATGTGGTGGGTCTCACGGAGGAGAAAACTTTATCAAGAGTCTCAGCTTCGACCAGGACAAAACTGTCCAGCATTTCCTCTGGCATAGACACACATTCAGATTAATCTAAAACCTTATTACTTAAGGAGGATAAAATATTCCTTCTGATAGTATCTACCTTCCCTCTGAAGTAGGCTGCAGACTCCTCACAGAGAGCATCTGAGGGGGATCTTAAGGGTTTTCTGAAGTGAATTGGAGGTACGGTTTAAAATGTTGTTTATGGTGGGAAAAAGTATTCTGGGATTGTATTTATTGTCTAGAATGAGTTTGGAAAGGTATGCATTTCTTGAATTTCTCACTGCGTCATTATATGATTTAAGTAGCTCTGTATTTATTTGATGATTTATAGTTGTTTTATTCTTTCTCCGTCTCTGCTCTGCAACCCTGCAATTTCTCTTTAGTTTCTTTAGATTTTCATTTCTCTACCGTGAAGCACGTTTTGAATAAAAACTTTTTATTTTAAGTGGAGCGAGCAGGTCGAGAGCGGATTTCAGTCTACTGTTAAAATCATTGACAGTAAAATCACAAGAGGCAGTTACCGGAGTGGGAGGGATCTTTCTAAAATCTTCAGGAAAACCAGCAGCCACTTCAGGGGTGAGATGATGCTGCCTTACAGTTCTCACAGAGGGTTCCTGCTGGATAAAGCTGGTGATGCTAAAGAACACACAGTACTGATCAGAGACAGCCAAATCAACAGGACACACTGGTGGACAGGCCCTGGGTGATGACCAAGTCCAGGGTGTGTCCTCTGTTGGGAGTCGGTTGCATGACATGTTGACTAAAATCCATGTAATTCAGAATATTTAAAAACTCCTTTGAAAACAAATCAGAAGGATCATCTATATGAAGATTAAAATCACCGGCTAAAATGATCCTTTCAAAGCAGTTGTGCAGGATTGATAAAAACTCTGAAAATTCTTGAATAAAAATGGTACTCTGCTTAGGAGGCCGATAAACTGTGACACATAAAATCTGAGGAGAGCTAAAAACTGCCGCTGTATATCCAAAAGTGATAAAATGATCAAATAAAACTGGTTTGGCAGAAAGTAATGATCTAATAAAAGCAGTACCGCCTCCCCTTTTGCTACTCCTCGTTGAAAAATAAAAATTAAAATCTGGCAGAGAGGCATCTGTGAGAACAACAGGTGCATCTGAACTCAGCCATGTTTCTGCTAAAAGCAGACAGTGAATTTGTAAAATCAGGTCATTTATTAAAAATGTTTTGTTTAGCAGAGAGTGAACATATAAAAGAGCCATATTAATGGTAACTGATGAAGGAGTGACTGTATTAACGGAAGTTGGGACTTTTGGTAACTGTCTTAGATTATTGGGTTGGTTTTATTTGGTTTATGGTTGTTTGTCTGCTCTCTGCTGATAATAACAGGTATGAATGAGGTATGGCAAGGTCCAAGTCCGATATGTGATTCACTGTTAAAATCAGGGCTGGGTTGGTAGGAGCAGGGACCAGCTACACATCAGGATGTAGGAGCAGATGAGGCCGGTGTAGTAGACACGGGGGGTCGTGGACAAGCCAGGCTATTTGTTAGAGTACGGGTCCCCTGCCTATTTAGGTGAAGCCCATCTGCTCCAAACAGGTGTCTCCTGCCCCAGAAAATGTTAAAATTGTCTATAAAACCAACATTACGGGTCACGGTGGCAGAGGAGAGCCAGGTGTTTAATGATAAAAGTCTGCTAAAACGGCCGATTCCTCTGCCCATAGTGGGAGTGGGGCCAGAGATAAAAACAGACAGGTGCATAGTTCTTAAAAGATTAAAAAGGTGAATAAAATCAAGCTTGAGGAGCTCTGACGGCTGCTTACGGATGTCATTGCTACCGGCGTGGATGATGATTCTACTCACTGTTGTGTGTTCTGGATCAGGTCTGGGATGTGTCCTGCAATGTCCATCACTGTAGCTCCGGGGTAACAGAAGGTCAGGGCTCCTCTCATCCTGACGTTACGGATGATGGAGTCCCCGACGATGAGAGTGGTTGGTGGTGGAGATGGTGGTGGTGGTGGTGTGTCCGCTGGTTGAAGCTGGGCAGAGGACCTTTCCAGGACCTGCTGAGTGATGGGCTGAGCTCCCCCGGGACTGCAGCGACGAGAAGTTGGTGCTCCTCGGCGGGTCCCAGCTTCAGTATGGGAGGGTGGCGCGATGTGGAGGTCCGTTGGTGTTCAGCTGGTCCCGCAGCTTCTGTTCAAACCTTTTATAATTTTGTGTTTTCATCAGATTTAGCTAGTATTTCATTTAAATATCATCTTTATTCATTTCATGAGAATGTGTGTTGCTTTGTTTATGTTTATGTTTATGTATTTAGCAGGCACTTTTGTCCAAAGCGACTTACAAGTGATAATCGGCATGTTGCCCTTGAGGCTAACAACAACAATAACAACAACATTGACATCAGTCATGGAGAGGAGGGAACAAGGAGTGGACAGTAGAGAGGGGGATGGGTGCAGGGAGGGTGCTAGTTTAGAAGATGCTCTCTGAAGAGCAGGGTCTTCAGGAGTTTCTTGAAAATTGAAAAGGAAGCTGCAGTTCTGGTAGTGCTTGGAAGGTCATTCCACATTTGTGGAACGATGCATGAGAAAAGTCTGGATTGTCCTAAACGTGGTGTAGGCACTGCTAGCCGACGATCCTGTGATGACCAGAGCGGCCAGGCCGAGACGTAAGCCTTAGCAAGAGGATTCAGGTAGATGGGAGCCGTACCGTCTCGGACTTTGTATGCTAGTGTTAGCAATTTGAATTTGATGCGTGCTGCTAGCGGTAGCCAGTGGAGCTCAATGAACAGAGGGGTGACGTGTGCTCTTTTTGGCTGATTGAAGACCAGACACGCCGCTGCGTTCTGGACCATTTGAAGAGGTCTCACAGTACAGCCTGGAAGACCAGTTAGAAGGGCGTTGCAGTAATCGAGGCGGGAGATGACAGTAGATTGCACCAGGACCTGGGTGGCATGTTGTGTTAGGTATGGTCTGATCTTTCGTATGTTATACAGCACAAAGCGGCATGAACGAGCAACAGAGGCAACATGATCTTTAAAGGTCAGGTGTTCATCAGTCACAACACCCAGATTTCGAACTGCCTTTGAAGGAGCCTGAGATAGGAAGTCATTTCGGATTGAGATATTGTGCTGTATGGGTGGTTTTGCTGGGATGACAAGTAGTTCAGTTTTAGAGAGGTTGAGTTGGAGATGGTGGGATTTCATCCATTTT